GACTGTCTGATGTGGATTCTATGTTCTGCAGCCTGATGTGTTTCTAATGTGTGTGGCTTCTGCTGTATGTGTTTATAATGTGTGAACTTGGATAATTCATTGCTTGGATTTTTTGGTGATTTGGATTTTCCCTTGAGGGGGAGTATTGTTTATGTGTCACTGTGGGAGTAATGGACCTATCTGAGATTGTCGGATTTTGAAGGGGTTGTAATCTCTGATGATTTGTAGCTGCATTTTATCTCTGATATCCTTCTGTTTGCAGATTATACAAAGTTCACATGTTTTTCATGTAACTTGTGTTTTGTGTTTGTGGTTTTATTCCTCTTCTCTAGAATTATTGTGCAAAGGTTGTTTTAGCCAAAATTTGTCAAAGGGGGAGATTGAAGGTTCCATGGTTTTAGGATTGCCAACAATTTTGCTAAAACATGGTTCACAGTAGGATGTTGTGTGTGATGTTGTAACATGCTAATTAGCTTACCTTGAGAGAAGATGTCCTAACAGATGTTGTAACATGTTATACCAGAACATCAGTTCTGGGTGTTTTAAATCTTGACAAGACTTGATTTGATTTTGTGATATTCCTTTTGGATATATCTCAATAATTTTTGCAGGTTAAGAAGATTTTATCTAGAACAGTTTTTTATATCTCCAACTATACACAAGTTGCTAAATTGGATGTTGAGACACTTTAGGAAACTTGATGATTTGTTCCAAGATTTAAGGAGACTTTTTCTGCATAATTTATGCAACCCTTAGCATGTGGATCAAGAAATATCTGGGTGAGGATTTTGAAGCCCATAGACTGTTAAGGAGTATTTAAAGAGTAACCTAAACCTAATGTGTGCACGACTTTCACTTTTGTAAAATAAGGGGAGGTTTTATAGAGCTAGGTTTTGAGAGTCTCTTGTATGTGACTTTGATATACGTATTGTTTGCTGTATGTTGTTCTCACTCAGAAACTTTTAAGTTGTGTAGTGGAGTATTGTTCTTGGGTGAAGCTTTTATGTCAAACAAGTATTTTTTATAGGAAGTGTGATCTTCTATTGTGTGTTTTGTATACAATAACTGGGATTAGGACTGTTTGATATCACTAAGGTGATTTAGGGAGTGAGAGGGGATTCTCATATCTAGATGGTGTTTTCTAGGTAGAAGTTGCACTGAATATGGATTAAGTGTGGAGTTGTAAACTGGGATTGTTTAGCTTCGAATTAATACTACTAATACTGGATTTCTTTCCTGGCTTGGTAGCCCCCAGATGTAGGTGAGTTGCACCGAATTGGGTTAACAATTAACCGTGTTTTTTTTATCATACAATTTACAATTTCTGCATAATTAAAGATTAATAATATTGTTCTGTCAGACTTAAGATTTCATAACATTTATCTTGATATTATGTTCTGATGTAAGGGCATCAGTATTATTAACATGTGGTACAACACCAGAAAATTTCAAGAGTTGTGAAAGAAAAGATGTGTGAAAGCTCGTTCAGTATGTATCTGTTAATCCTGTAAAAGATATTAGAGTAATTCTTAAATTACTAAGGCAAAACGTGCACTCACCTAAAAGTGTTTATAACCTCTCTATTTTATAAAACTTCTAAAAACCATTAGACGAATAGTCATGGTGCATATGGAATTGATAAATATTATTCCTAAACATTTATGAGACTTATATACACTGCCCAATGAATTAAGGTCCCCAGTCAATCGATTAGAGCAAGATTCCTTAATCGATTATGAACACTCCTAATTGATCAGAACACTAGCCATTGTAGGGTTTCCTTTTTGGGAATTTGGGTTGTAGTTTTATGAAACACTTTTTCGATTAGAGGCATAATCGATTATGAATACTAAAAGTTCCATGGATAGTTTTTCTTTTTGAGCCGGTTTTTCATCTACAAATAGAGGGCTCTTTTCACTTTCAAATCCTAACAAAAAACATGTTTTGATATACTTTTTCACTCTCTACTCTTTTTCCTTTTATTTTCTTCATTTTCACTATTTTGTCTTAGTGATTTAAGAGTGAAAAATGTTAGTGAGGAATTTCTTGTGTATTTTGGTGATAGGGTTGTTAGAACAAGATTTGTTTATGACATACTCTCTTTTAGTTTCGATGATAACAAAAGTATTAAAAGAACAATAGTTTATTCGTTGTGTATCTTATTTATGCAGGTTCTTGTTTTTGTACATAAATAATCAGAATCTGTTTTACTTAGGCACACTTAGGAGTTGCCTCATTGCTAGCTTCTAATGGAAGAGTATGAAGAATAATTGCTAGTGTGGCTTGGCGTAGACTCTGAGCTGAAGGCCTCAGTATTCAGACGAGATACTACACTTAGAAATTATATATCAGTATCTGATACCATTCAGAGTTGATGATAAAAAATGTTATACTTTAGTCCCTTAAAAACATTTTTGCTAGTCGATTTAGTCCTTTTTGTCAAATTTTATCAACAATCGTTAAGTTTGACGATGTTACTTTACAACAAGGCTCAAGGTACAAATATGACTTAGCATATATATTAAAATTTTGATTTGAACTACAGGGTTTTTATTTTTGGAGATTAAAAATACCCGCAAATCTTTAATAGTGTGTAAAAAAATGTAAATTTTCATAATCAATTATGTGATAAAAGAAAGTGAATTAAGATTGCGGAGTCATTAGAAAAGTAATTAGAACAAAAGTTAAAACTTAATTTAAAACATGTATGTAGCTTTATTGCGTGAGGATGCAACAAAACTTATAACTTAAGTTTAAAGTTATAATCAAAAAGAAGTTATCTCAAAAGAGAAAGAACATAAAAGGTTATTATGCTGGACCGCCAACTTGAGATTGTGCAATTGACTTCAGTTATTAGAGCTTGAATGTAATGTTTCTATTGAGTCACGAGCTTCTCAAATTGTGATTGTCATTCTTGAATTACATTCAAAAGTTGCTTGTTCAGAAGTGCAACTTTTCTTTGATATTCAAACTTCATAAGCTCACATTGTTTTCAACAATAGCACCATTGTTACAAATAACAATAAAAACTACACAATATAAACAAAAGTATAAATGACAAAATCGGAAGATGACAACTATGTACCTTGACCTCTTCGTAGAGTTTTTTTTTCCCATGCTAACAACTTATTTAAAAGTGTGGCCTATATTTCATACTCTTTCAAATCAAAATCATCTTTAGCACTCTCCTCATTGGACACGGCCTTGAAGGACCTATCCCATGTTATTACTTTCATGACTCTAGCAGAATGATCAATGTGGCCTATTTAAAAGTGTGGCCTATATTTCATACTCTTCCAAATCAAAATCATTTTTAGCACCCTCCTCATTGGACACAACTTTGAAGGACCTATCCCATGTTATTACTTTCATGACTCTAGCAGAATGATCAATGTGGCCTGCTCATATCATTGTAAATTAGCCTCAATCATACATGTCCATTCCAACTAACAACAACTAACTAAAATCCTATCAAAACACATATTGTCAGCATAGACAAGCTAAATTCAGATGGGGGAATATTGTATACATATCAAAGGTGGGAATATTTTTCAGTTGTTCTACGAGGAACAAAAAATTCCCCATTGAGATAAACATGTTAAAACAAATTTAAATCACATTTATTCTTCTTCGTGTGTTTCTCTGAAGCAACATATTCCTCGTTCTTCATCTGTTTTTCCAGAGCAATATCTTCTTTGTTCTTCATTTGCTTCCCAACCATGAAAGCGTGCAAATTAAAAACGAGAAGGTAAAAAGTTAAGAAAATGTTGATTGAATAAGAGAATCAATGAATAAAAATGCTTGAGATTGAAGATTTATATTAAAGGAGATGAGAGAAAGAAAGAAGGAGATGAAGGGTTGTGGTGGTGGAAGAAAGAGAAGAGAGAAAGAGGGGTGACGACTAACTTAAAATTTCATCAGAGGTGTTTTCTAATATCAAGTTGTTCAAATCAAAAATATTTTCAATAATAAAACTAAAAATAAATTAAGTAATAAATCAAATAATAAGTTAAGTAATTAAACTAAAAATAAAAATACCAGGTCAGAAAATTAAACTGTACCAACATTGTCACATATTTAATTTTAACCTTTTTTTCGAAAAAAAAAATTAAAGGAAAAGGACCATTTTATGTAACAAAACATTTTTTAAATGACTATTATATAGCATTTTTAGTTAAGATACCAAAGGAAACAATAAACTAAGTGAAAGGAAAAAATGCATTAAATAATCTGGTCTATTTACTAGAGAAATTTTTTTCATTGAATAATTATGATATTTAGAGGGTATAATATACTAAATAAATTGATTATAAAAAATTAATATAAAAAATTAACATTTTTACTCCTTTTATTCTTTTTTAAATATCATTTTTTTTTTACTTTTTACACATACTAGAATAACTAATAATAATAATAATTATTTTTTAAACAATAATTTTTTTGTCTATAATAATACTCTTAACTTTTTAATAATTTATTTAATTATTTTCTTTCTCTATAATAAATAATTATAAATAATTTAACAGAACTATAATTAATACTATTTTGAATTTTAGAATGACACTTAAAAAAAATAAATTTTATTTATAAAAGTGACACTTAAAAAAAACAGAGAAAATATTTTTTTTAGAAAGTTGATCTTTTACTATTAATAGTTCATTAATTTTTTTTCACTACTCCATCTAAGAACCTGTATGAATAATTGAATATCCATTTTGGCATGATTCTATGAATTTAGAGCACTTGCTTAAAAAAATTAACTTTTATTTATTCAAAAATCTCAAATAAAACATCAAATGATTTTAAAACAAAATACTTTTTCCGTCACAACCATTTTTTTTACAGATTCAGCAAAAATCATTTGCATTTTTTTTACGATAACCTAACAGATCTTTCATCATCAAATTCCGAAGGAAAAAAAATTTAAAATTAAGAAACGTTAATTCATAGATGGTAGGTGAGAGTTATAGTACTATTAATTTCGAGAATCATCATTACACATGAATTCCATTTTGAGAACAGTAACAACATCGTTAATACCAAGAACAGTTTCTGTCTCAAAATTCATGGATTCTTCTTCCCCCGCCACCATTGGAGGATCTCAGAGGCTTCTAGCTTTGGCACAGCACCTTCGCCTCTATAAGCCACCACCTTTCCCCGAAGATATTTTCGAACAGAGCATTGAAGATAATGGTAGCAGCAAAGTTGTATCTCAATTGGGTTTTCCTGAATCAGCCACCACAATTCAACACCCGGAGAAATTCAAACCTAAGAAAGCTGCTGTTTTGATTTGTCTCTTTGAAGGTGATCATGGGGATCTAAGGGTTATTCTCACTAAACGCTCTTCCAAGCTTTCTTCTCATTCGGGTTAGTTAAGTTAAGGGTTTTGAATGTAGAGCATTGTTTTGTATCATCTTTCAATTTTCAGTTTTTGAATTCAATTGTGTTTTGTTTGTAGGTGAAGTGTCTTTGCCGGGTGGGAAAGCGGATGAAGGCGATAAGGATGATGCGGATACTGCGAAAAGAGAGGCAAAGGAGGAAATTGGGTTGGATCCTGAACTTGTTAATGTTGTTACTGTTCTTGAACCATTCTTGTCTAAGGTATATATGTTCTGGTTTGCTTGTTGTTTAATGTTGTTTAATGTGAAATTGAGTATTCTCCAGTTTTGTCTTATTAGGTTTTTTATTGTTGCAAATATTGCACCTTTATGAAAACTATGTCTGTGATTGATGTTTGGTTTGTGAAGGGAAATGTTGATTTTTTCAAATGTGTCTTTAAGTCGAGATTTGCTTTATTATATTTCGCCCGTGAAGGAGATTCCATGCCGTGAGAGGAATAAGTTTATAGTAGGCAATTTGTGGTCTGAGTCTGCGTTGATCATTTCAGAAGTTGGGCTGCTGTCACTAGTTAAAAATTTGTATTAATCGCAATCATGTTTACATTCGCTGGTATTAGATAGTTTGCGCACTTTTTGTTAATCTATTTTCATTTGTTTCGGTTTGAAAGGGTTCAGTGGGGAAATTTTATTAGTGCTTCTCACCTATCATTGTTTCTTTTACAGCACCTTCTAAGAGTGGTTCCTGTAATCGGCATACTTCATGATAAAAAAGCGTTCAGACCTGTTCTGAATCCTGCAGAAGTGGAATCGGTATTCGACGCGCCTTTAGAAATGTTTCTCAAGGTACCATGCTTAATTTTAATTTTTAGTTTTAATTCATGTCATCTTCCTTTTTGCGTATTCATCTTCAAGTTGTCTAATGTCATAATTGGTTTAAGCAGGATGAAAATCGGAGTCAAGAGGAGAGAGAGTGGATGGGAGAGAAGTATTTGATACATTTTTTTGATTATGACGACATTGAGCATAAAAAATATCTCATATGGGGATTGACCGCCGGGATTTTGATTAGGGCTGCATCAGTTGTGTACCAACGGCCACCTGCTTTCGTCGAGCAGAATCCCAAATTCAAGCTTCCACAGGTTGTAAGCAAGGACAGTTCAATGACTTGAATTCAATAATCATTTGTATCTTATGTTCTTTTCTTCATCCTACAAGAATATATATTCGTTGCAAATATAACTTATATTTTCTGAAAGAAAGGAGGAGGATAATGTCCATCACTTGGAATTCACCTTGTGTTCGGATATCTAATGATCGGTAGAATCAATCAAATGGAAAGGGATAGGAAAAAAATCAGGATCATTTTGGGATCTGGTATAATAAAATGTTGTAAAGGCTTTATTCTATTATTTGGAAATGGATGAAATGATAAGGAGATGATGCAAAATGAACTTGGATTGTTTATATCATTTTTAATCTATAGATGCGATGGCAATTTTCCATTTAAGATATTGATATCTTTCTTTGTTATATGGATTTTATTTAAGGAAATTTATATTTTTTAAGTTTATGTATCTGATTTTTGATTTGTTAAGAACTTCTAGTATCTAGTGGTTTGCTGCTACATATCCGTTTTTGCCTCAGTGCTTTATAGAAAATTCATGTTTTAGGGGATATTTAATATTGGACAGTAACTGCTACCAAATTAGTTACCAAAAGAATAACCAAAAGAATAACATCATGGCTCGATTTGGCTCAAAACCTTTAGAGGAATAACCAAAAGAATAACATCATGGCTCGATTTGGCTCAAAACCTTTAGAGGAATAACCAAAAGAATAACATCATGGCTCGATTTGGCTCAAAACCTTTAGAGGAATAACCAAAAGAATAACATCATGGCTCGATTTGGCTCAAAACCTTTAGATTAAAAACATGCAATGCTAAAAAATCAAAAGAATAAACAACACAGTTCTAAGGCAATCAGAAAAATCATTAATTGTTGTTTCTTTAACTTACAAAACATAGAGAACAACAAAAGTCCAAGAAAGCGAGAGCACTAGAGGTGGGTGTGATTGCTGCAGTGACGACAAGGCAAGTGAAGTGGCAACAGTGGCGACGAGGTGAGTGAAATGCAACGGCAGCGTGTGATGTTTTGAGCTCTGTTTACTAAAGCGTTTCGCACTTGCGGCTACATAGTTTTGAAACATGTACCAGATTTCGAGGCCGAACAGGAATAAGAAAAATAAAATTTGTTGAAGTTTAAGATAAGACAGAGGTGTTGTTAAGGGTTTGAAGAACTTGTGAAGAGTTTAAGATGCAAAATGGAGAGTTCCACGAGGTTAAGGAATTTTCAACTTGAATGATTTAGGCCCAACCACACATATGACACTAGTTGGTGAAAGTTATGTGCCATATGACAGTAGTTGGGGAAAGTTAGAATGGCATGGGCAGAGGAATGTAAGCACATGCATGAATATCTTGTCAGATAATTATTTAAGGTGTGAATCATATATTGAAAAGGCAAAAGTGTGTGTAAAAATCATTTCATTCAAAATATTTACATATCAACCTTTCAACAAAATACAAACTGTCTTTACAAAGCTAATGAAGGAACTAAGCTTATAATAAGCTGTTCATTGTTGATTTTTCTACATTTTGAGCCCTCTCAACCTCATGTTTTTCCTCATTAATCTTCATTTTGGCTAAAATGATCTATCTTACACTGGCAGACTAAACATACGGAAGAAACTAGAGACAGAAACAGGCTAGGAACTTCATAATCTTGCTCACATTCAAGGCTAGAGAAGCCTGGTCATGTCGAACCATGTTCATCTGAATACCTCATAAAATTTCTCAATGACAAGTAAACCCGAGTCTATGGACTCCAACGGATCCTTTCGAAGACGGTGTCTCAAGCAATTAGGAATGACAATAGCGATATCCTCTGCACTTACTCTGTCTCTTCCCTTGAGTGCAGAAAGAGCTTTTGCCGCTCTATTCGTTACAATATCTCCTCTTAATCCATCCACATTCAAATCTGCACAAACCTGAGAGATTTTCACCTTGAGTTCATAGTCTATTTGAACAGAAGCAAGAAAACTCCTTGCTGAGGTAATTTGTTGCTGCAGCTTTTCCTGCTCAGCTTCATAAGAATCTCGAAACTCCTTCGGATTTTTGTCAAAACGACCTCTCTCCTCCACAATCTTCACCCTTAGCTCAGCCTCCCTCACAGTCCCCACTTGAGCATGCATTCCAAATCTATCCAATAGCTGTGGCCTGAGCTCCCCTTCTTCAGGATTTCCCGAACCAATTAAGATGAACCGAGCAGGATGCGCAATTGAAATACCTTCTCTCTCCACTGTGTTCCAACCTGATGCAGCAGAATCCAATAAAACATCAACTAAGTGATCATCCAAGAGATTAACTTCATCCACATAAAGAATTCCCCTATTAGCTTTCGCCAGTAAACCAGGCTCGAACGCCTTCACACCCTCGGTCAGTGCTTTTTCAATATCAATTGTTCCACAAACTCGGTCTTCTGTAGCTCCCAACGGTAAATCCACCATGTTAATTTTAGACAATATAACTTCAAGCTGCTCTCCTTTCAACACGCGCTCTCTTACTTCAATACTCATGAATTCTGGATCTTCTGGATCTGAATTATATGGATCGCCAGCAACAACCTTGATTTCAGGAAGCAAATCGACTAATGACCTAACAGTTGTAGATTTCCCGGTTCCCCTATCGCCCATGATCATTACACCTCCAATCTTTGGATCAATCACATTGAGAAGAAGGCAAAGCTTCATCTCATCCTGTCCAACTATGGCGGAAAACGGGTACACCGGCCTTTGGTTTTCTTTAGAAACAATCCTCTGAATCTGAATATGCTAAGTTTACACAGTTAAGATGTTATCAAAACATATCCAAAAAAAAATACAGAAACTGCAAATTAAGGGTAAGAATTAGAGAAGCAAAAATGAAAAATCTCTTACCTACCTGTTGAGGAGAGTTAATATCAGTGGCAACACTCAAAACTGAAAACTGAGACTTTCCTTTAACTTCATGAAATCCAATTCCACCCCAAAACTTACTCACAGATACTTGCCCTGCAAAGCCACAACCGTTAAATATATCATTGAGAATTTACCATTTCCATTAAAAACTCAGCAAGATCAGAAATTTTTTATAGCTTTAACCAAAATAAATAGAAATGGGTTTGCTGCGTGCCTCACACGAAAATTATGAAGTTTCTAAGACAATTTACCTTTGGTTAGGGAGAGAGAATGAGTGGAAGGGGAAGAGTGATGTCGGGAAGACAAGACTGCAATTGAAGAAGTTCGCAACGTGGATGCCATAACTTTTATGCAGTAGCTGCAGCTTCTTCCTTCTGTTGTTGTGTTCCTATTTACATTCAGTCACTCACATAAGAAAACATGTTTTAGTATTTCAGTCTTATACAAGTAACTTATTTTAAAAATAATCGTTTTTTTTAATAGAAAATGATGGAAAATGTGCGAAAAGAGGATCATTTAAGTTGTTAATAATTCAATATAGATTTTCTACCTTTTGACTTTGGTAAAGGGGCGAATGTTTAAAATGAAAGAAAATAATGAGAGAATAAACAGAGAATATGCAGAGAAAAGTGGAAAAAGTGGAAGTTAGAGAATCTTTGATTAAATTAAGAAAGAAGAGTATGACCAAGGTCTTAAAAAACAAAGAACGGTTGCAATTGCGTAAAAGTATTTGTGATAAAAGTATTTGTGATTTCGATTGTTACAGACATTGATTGCGATAGCCGTTTTTGCATTTGTGTGTTTGAATTGCTGGTATGAAATAGAATTGGTGTAAATAATAATATTTTATTGTGTAAATTAGTAAATAATAGATGGAGTATGAGAGAACATGATAAAATTCTAAAATCCATTTCATCTCATTTAATCAAAATCCTCCATTTTGTGTTCAATCTAATTTGCCGTCTATGCAATATGATAAAATATTTTTAATAAAATATCCAAGATCAATATTCTATTCCGCCATGTTATTGTTCCATTAATCCAAACATGTAAAAAAAAAAAAAAGTAGTATTAATCAAAATCCCCTGAAGTTTATCAACTTTCTTTGGTGTCTCAATTTGGTTCATTTTGAAAAATATGAATGAACATGCGTCCTTTGACTGCTTTTGCCACGGGCATTGCTTTCACCCTTGTTGTTTGGCGTTATGTTCAACACTAAAGGTGAACTCAATCATGCAAGAGACCTTTCTTTATTATCATGTTATTTTTAAAGTTGTGCAATGCTTTTTCCAAGGGGCATATCTTCATTGCCCCTCTTTTCATTACATCCCTCTGTGACTCCTTAAAATGTTGAGACTTTTGAATTGGCAAATGCTGGTTCATGTGCGGATCACATCGTTAGTGAATAGAGAGAAAAACCAGAAAATGGATCATCATAAATCACAACTTCATCTAAACCAAAATCAATTAATCATCAATATTTGCCAACAGGCTTATAAACACACGGATCATACAGAAGCTTCCTGCAAAATTCAAAGGCAAACTATGAACATTCTAGCTGCCAAACTTGTGACCGCGATAATTTGGTTTTTGAACTACAACATCATTGGAGTTTTTGCTAAACTGAGATATAAATGTGGTGTTATCATTTATCATTTTATGTTGTCATGAGGAGATATACTAGGCCTTTCAGGTATTCAACAATCTCTGATCCACCAAGCTTTGAACTTCCATATACTCTATCAACAAACGTGATTGGTACCTGTACACATGGGAAACTAAGGTAAGCTACAAAGTGAAACGTGAAAAATGAAAAGGGTGATGAGGAAAAAGTTATATATCAAAAAAAGAAAACTACACTAGATATATCCAAGATGTGTATAAATACCAAGCATGTGCAGCGATGATCAATGCTAATTACACATGTAGTTCATGAGCTATGAAGAATTGAAGACACATAACAACTAGGTTAATATAAAGAATAACCATCACGAGTTAAGTAATTGCACCTCTTCAATATGGTACCCTTTTCTAGATGCTCTTACTATCATCTCCATTTGAAAGACGTATCCTTTACTAACGCAACAACTAATGATATCTTCGAGCACTGATTTCTTATAAAGTCTACAAAAAAAAAAAAACAGTATATCAATCTCAAAACCAGTCAACACGGGAGAAATGAGCAACACTCCCCAAACTGTTAAATATCCATTATCAAGCTCTATACCTAAAAGACCCTGTCAAATCTGAGACACCAGGCCATAAAAGTGTTTGTGCAAGAACATTTGCTCCTCTGCTAGTTAGTTTGCGCATAAGATTCCATCCATGCACACCACCATCTTTAACATAACGAGTCCCCGTAACTATATCAGCACCGGTTTCCAACTGCTTTCTGAAAAACAAAACAGGCAGAGTTAAGCTATGGCAGGTAAGAAGAAAACAAGAAAAACATGATTGAAAGCTTTCCTTACCTAAGGAAGCCAGGCAAATATTTTGGCTGCAGAAGAACTAAATAGATTAGAAGAATAATAATAACAATACAATGCTGCAACAAACAAATTCTCCAAACTAAATCTAAAACAAAGTTCATCCAAGTCTTCTTGATTATTCTCTTCAAAACTGCAACCTATTATTGTCTACATATAAACAGAATAAGTTACATGGTGTGATAGATCGGCATCCATAATGACAACAAAATTTCCAGATGCATGCTTCATGCCATGAATATAGGCCGTTCCTGCAAATTAATAACGTCAAAGGACAATTTATCAAGATCATTACGTAAAAGCATCAGGTACATACCTAAACCCATCTTCCTAGGTCTCGCTCTTAACAGCTGCAACCACAAGAATAAACCGGGTTACTCTAAATGATACAAAGGGGATACTAGTGATCCCAAAAAATATAACAGATCACAAATTACTAGTCATTTATTTGTCTAAGTAAACGTCACCGCTTACAATCCGATCTTCTCCGTAAACCTGCTGCAGTTGTTTTACAATATCCTGAGTACCATCAGGACTCCCATCGTCGACAACAATAACTTCAAAATCAACATCCCTAAAATTGAGCAATAGAAAGAAGTACTCACACATATGATTGATCATTATATAAAAGGAACAAAAATTGAAGAGAGAGTATATAGAAATTACGGAAGGTGCTTGAATATAAGGTAAATAATGAGGCTTATGTTGAGTCGCTCATTATATGTAGGAACAATTATACTGTACTTGTTTCTCTGCTTCTGCACATCCATTCCTATCTAAACATGAAACAAATCCACTCAATCAAAACCAGAGAGTGATTATTGGAATCCTTACATGAAATGTGGGACAAGATTATCAATTTCATATAATCCAATCCAATTCGTATAATCTCAATTGATTCGATGAGATATGAGAATCAAATGAAAGCCCCGATAATAAGCGGGATGAAATTGTTTTTGTAATTGGGAGTTCGGACATGAATCAAATCATAGCAACTTGCACCGGGTGAAAACTGAAACGGTGCTATCACAAAATTAAAGAGAGAGTGGTAGAGATTAACGAACCTTAGACGGAGAAAGTGAGATCACGAAGAACAAACGCACACTTCACTCACCGTAGCAGCTGTGTCAGCCGTCGATTGCTTCAAGTGGAAACTAAAAGGCGAAACCAATGTCTGCTCCCAAAATTATTTTTTATTTTATTTTTACCCCATGGTTTTCAAATAGTGACATTATTTGCTAGTTATATTTTTATTTACTAAAAATAATGTGTTTATTTTTTAGTACAAGAATTTGTTTTATTAAAGATATAGGCATGGACTTCATCTTCCACCTCCATGATGTGTTGTTCTTCATCTTCCTCCTCATGATTAGAGTCAATGGTCTGAGAGTGTTAGGTGATGTCCTTTGGGGGCGAGGTTTCATGTTGTTCTTCAATGGGTTTATTTACTTTGTATATAGATCCTTTGGTCGAATCTTTGTTGGATGTGGGTTGGTGCGAAGGAGTACTGATGCTCCCAATGATAGTTTGTTTGATGCTTGATTGTTCGACACCATCTACGCCACCCTGAAAAGAAATTGAATTATGATGAGTCTAAAATAAAAGAAGAGGAAAAATGGTTAAGGACAATTGAGGTAAAATTATATTACCTTAGGACCTTCTGCATCAGGGTGGAATTATCCCTTTCAACCCGTTCAAGAGTACCTTTGGTAGCCGGTTCAAGATCAACTTTGATTATCTTTAGAGTGATAGGTTTCTTGGTTTTGATTTTCATGGTGTTGGTTTTTGGTTGGGAAGTGGCATTGGAAACCTTCACTTTCTTCTTTTTCTTGACAACTTCAGAAGTGTTTGGCGAAAGGTCGTCTTCGTCTGATTCGACTACTTGAACATGAGGTTCTTTCGCCTTTCTTTTCTTTAGAGTCGGAGGAGGTTTTCGATTTTTATGAAAATAATAAAAACATTAGAATATTAAGATAATACATTAAACGAAATAAGAAAAATACAAAGTGTAACTTTGTTACTGGTTTGATGTTTTCTTCTTCTTGACCTTCTGCTTTGGTCGAACTGACAGTTTTCTTCTTGGGCCTTTTGCTAGTTGTTTTCTTTCGACGACTAAAATAGGAAGAGATAAAAAAACAATTGCCACTAGTGAAAAAGATGTCAAGAAGCTGCTAGAAGAAAAATGAATTAAATTGAAAATTTATCTTATTCCATACTTTCATATATGAGAGAGAGTACTTGAACATCTTTTATGCCAATATTAAGATGTCTTTTGAAACTGTCCAAAGTATGCTTAGTCGAAACCACCTGTTTCGCCAGTTTTTGAGAGTCTTATCAGAGGATTTTCACAAGGTCCCCTCAGACGAACCAGACGGGAAACGGAGGGCTAAAAGCCACGTCGAAATCAGCCATTGGCAGTCGAGGGAATCTTGGTGGATGTAAGTTAAAAGCCAACTCATACCTGTATTCAAGTTTGATGTTCAAAGGTAGTTTTAAAATTGGGAGTTTCTTCATAAATTTTTCTCTCAAAGTAACTGCTGCTTCACGGATGGTTCGACTAAGGTCATCAGATCTGTAGCCAGTTTCAAAGTATTTTTGAAAATTTTGAATTTTCTTGATGTGAGTCAAAGTACCTTTCTTGAATTTGTCCTGTATAAGAGCAAAAGCAGATGTTAAGTGTTGATTGAAGGCATTAACATCGAACATTTATGTAGAATAGTATTGTTTCCACCAAGTGTCATATTCTTGGGAACAAAAGTAAGATGGTGTGAAAGGAATATGAGGGAGTTGAGTAGTGTCATTGTACTGAGACATTCTGTCATTACTTTGAGCTTCAATAAAGTACATGTTGTAGAG